GTCAAATCAAACTCAGTCAAAATATTATAATCGCTAACATAACAGATCAGACGGCTATCATTGTATCTAAAGTCCGATGCCTTATACTTCCTATCATGGTTTTCTTGATTGAGGATTGCTACTCACAAGGAAGCTATTGAACTAAGAGTTCAAATTGGTGAAATTGGCGTCATCCCTTCAAGAATTTTACACACGCAATCACAAGTTGGTTGAACGTTACGGAATGTCTGTTTCATAGATGACGATGGATGTGTTTCAATTGTCGTTACCACAATACCGTCTTGGTTTCCGCCTATTTGACCTACATCGAAAAAAACTAATCACTGGGTTTGTGCTCAAATGAGCAACACGACGGGTGCCACAGGTGTAGTAGGTTCTGATTGTTCTTTCGGAACACCGGAGATCACCCATGGTTTGTGATGGGGTTCATGTTGCTCGGTGGTTTTTTTTTTTATTGTGTTATGTAGACTGTTGTTTGTCTTTATGGTGCTTTTCTGTAAGTTTTTGCCATCGCTCTTTCTTGTTGTTTTCAAGAAGGTTATTTATGCATTCTGCTTCATAAGTCGAACCGTAGTGGTGCACTATTATCACCTATCAGAATACCGACTGTTTGCTGAAATATCAATTCACAAAACCCAACAAAAAAGTATGCTGTTGAACAAAACGTCCAGCATTATGATGATATCATCTGCGGTGTATTTATAGTTGAAATCAGTGTTGTTCTTCAATTTTTAAATTTTGGTATAAAAAGCTACTTAATGTGACGTCGTAGTCGATCTTTCAATATAGCACAATATTATGGATATGTCATACCATACTATTGTTCAAGCAATTTACTGGTTAGACTGGTTATTTTGCACTTTATTTTTGACGGACAAGGAACGTAATCTCTACGTTAATCCACCATTTTTTACATAAGGAAATGCCTGTACCAAGTCAGGAATATGACAGTCCATTCGTTTAATGTGTTTGATCTTTTGATTTTGCCATTTGATCAAGGACTTTCCGTTATAAATTTTCCTTGGAGTTCGGTATTTTTGTTATTTTACTTTTTGTTACATTAAAAAATGTAAAAATAAATATCGTTAACGTACCAACACTATATAAGTACAGCGTCAATATCAATTAAAAGAGGAATATCATACTTTAAAAAAAAAATTTTAGTGACAATATCAACTGAAAAATAGATTTTATAAATAAAAATTGGCAAGTTCTTTATTTAAATTCATATTTGTATATATAGTAATACAAGCAACTCGGTACGTCCATTTGCATTTGATTCACATGTAAGATATGAAAGTTATTAACCCCATTAGAATGTTACCACAACAGAGCCTAAATAACACATTTTAGTATTATTTTGAATTGAAAGGTAACGTTTACCATAAAATCTCTTTATTGTATTTAAAAGATGTATCATAGCTTTGCCTCCAACAGAGTTTTAGTTCTGATTAAGATTGTCCTTCTTATTTATTATTGTGTCATAATTCATTTTCTCTTATGGTTGTGGCCTGTTGTCTATTTCTTGCATGAAGAAATATAACTTGTATCACACTGCACGGAGTGTGCTACGAAAAGGTGATACGAAAGCTTCGTTAATTTGACTGGCTTATCTAGCATCACTGGACGATATTACGGCATTTCCATTGGCTATTCGTTAGGTCATTGATGACTTTCAAAGGTTTAGACGATGTACATTTCTTCAAAAATATACAAAACACTAACATTTTTCACCTAAGAATCTTTTTTTTGTCAAATTTTATAACATAATGTGTCATAATTCATTACAATCTAGGCGTCATCTTTAGACATTTATAATAATTATAAAATAAGAAGATGTGGTATGATTGCCAATGAGACAACTCCCCACCAGAGACCAAATGACATGGAAGTTAACAAACATAAGTTGTACACAACTATCATACTTGTATTTCAAAGAGAATTCAAAAATCAACGATGTATGTGGCCTATTTAATTAAGCTTTATAATTAAGCATTTAGGTTTGTTTTTGTTCAAACATCAACTCGCAAGATAAGATACGAGTTATATCAAAAGATGCTTTAAATCAACAACTGTACTGTTACCATGGCTAGCTAGGCGACAATACCTATTCATGAACTGTGTCCATATCGGTTCACAAAAAACATGAAAAAGTCAAACCGGATGTACCGTCGTTCCTCAAATACTCTTAGTATAACATAAGTAAATAGAAGACAAAGATAACGGGTTACTCAGAAAAGCGCTTCGAACGCCTAAAATCTATAAAGTATCACTTTCATTTTCCGAAAAACAGACTATTCCAAGGCCAAAATGAAAGGCTATGAAAACACAAACAACAATCCAAAATAACACTAAACAGAAAATCTGATGATTGAGATAGACGAAATTAACCTGAAACCGGATTGAACTCAGTTGATTGGAATAACTAATAGCTCCTGTTCGTCAAATAGCACAGGTAAAATAGCTCATGACAAGTAAACATTAGGTGATGTCACAATCATGGAAGAGATTACTGGAGTATGGCTTCGACAGGTGGAAAATATTCCTGGCCATCGGTGTCAAAGATGTTTCATAGCGGTCAAAGAAATCATTAGTATATAGAAATACAGCCTTACAGTATAAAACCTCAAGATGCATACCATTTGCATCAAGTCACGACCTAATTAAAAAAATGCTTCAATTAATTGATTATAAATTTTGATTAAATATATACATAATGTAAGGGTGAAGGTTGGCGCCTGTTAAAACCCGCTGCATTTTTATACACCTGTCCTATGTCAGAAGCCTGTTGTTCATTGGTTGTCGTTTGTTGGTGTGGTTCATAAGTGTTTCTCGTTTCTCGTTTTTTATATAGATTAGACCGTTGGTTTTCTTGTATAAATTGTTTTGCAGTAGTCATTTTGGGGCCCTTTATAGCTTGCTGTTCGGTGTGAGCCAAGGCTCCGTGTTGAAGGCCGTACTTTGACCTTTAATTGTTTACTTTTTACACATTGTGACTTGGATGGATATTTGTCTCACTGGCACTAATACCACATCTTCTTATTTATATATGAATATACGTACACCATTTTTCAGAATAGTCAATTTATAAAATTGTTGAGGCCGTCATGAGACGCAATGAAGTCGAATGTATCCACCGTCCTTACTATCTATTTGTAATATGTCAAAAAATGTCCGTCGAAATATAAATTCAACAACCTAACAACAAATCATATTGGCAATCAAAAAGTCCAGCAGTTTGATATCATCTGCGGTGTATTTATAGTGGGAATCAGTGTGGTTCTTCATGTTTCAAATTTTGATATAGAAAGCTCTATTTCATGAGACGATGTAGTCAATCTTTCAATATAGCACAATATTTTGAACATGTAATTGCAATGCAATTGTCCAAGCAATTTACTGGTTAGACAGGTTATTATGCACTGTATTTTTGAAGTACTAGTAACGTAATTTGTACGTTTGCTACATTAAAACCTGAAACATATCGTTGACTTACTAACATTTACAGTGTCAATATCAATTGAAAGATGAATATCATGCATGAAAAATCATTTTTTGATTTAATTGACAATATCATCTAAAAAATAGATTTTATCCATAAAATCTGGCAGTCTTTTTTAAATTTATATATATATATATATATACATAGACTGTGCGGTATGGGCTTTGCTCATTGTTGAAGGCCGTACGGTGACCTATAGTTATTAATTTAGTCAATTTATAAAATTGTTGAGGCCGTCATGAGACGCAATGAAGTGTCATTTGGTCTCTTGTGGAGAGTTGTCTCATTGGCAATCATACCATGCAATTGGTCCACATGTAAAGATATGAAACAACAGAGCTTGAATAACACATCTTTATGATTTGAATCGAAGGTCACCGTTTACCAAAATATCCCTTTATTGTATCTGAAAGACGTGTCATAGCTTTGCCGTCAACAGAGTTTTAGTTCTGATTAAGATCGTCCTTTTTATTTATGATTCGTACACTCGTAATTTATCATAATTCATTTAAATCAAGGTGTCGTCTGTAGACATTTATAAGTAGAAAAAATGTTTAAAAACTAATAAGGAAATGTAAGAAACTCGAAATACAGATTAGAAGCTAGGAATTTTGAAATATTTCTATAGATTTACTTCACACAAGGTCCGTTTTACGAAGTGAGAAATAAATCTAGAGAATAAATTCCTTTCCTCCTTCACCACACATTCAGATCATAAGACTTGTAAGCGTCTGGAGACGAAGACAAAAAATAAGTTCAAAGAAGTTTAGATATTCCTTAAGTCGATATATTTGATTAAAATCCTATAATGTGTTCTATGGCGAGCAACACAAAGATATAAGGATTATGATTCGGTATGCCAGACGTGTGTTTCGTCAATATACGACTAACCAATGGCGCTCGAATAAAAAATGTTTGAAAGCCAAATCTAAATAGGATTGTAGAGCTTAAAAAACGCAAATTCCGAAAAGTTGTGACAAATACGGCTACGGCAATATATACTTGGAGATCGGTAAGATTTTAATATGCATCTAATAAAAAAATATATAAAATCAGGAACTCTTTATAGTGGACAAGGTCATCTCCTTCAAATATTTAGGCATGATTGTTTTCTTTTTCTTTAAGGGGGACCAACATTTGTTTGGTTTAGATGTGATTCAACTTAAATATAGTCATATTGTCCATTTTATGGTTCTATTTCGACTGTCATACAAGTGAGAGGTTTAGCTAGCTATAGAACCAGGTTCAATCCGCCATTTTCTACATAAAAAATGAATGTACCAAGCCAGGAATATGACAGTTGTTATCCATTCGTTTGATGTGTTTGAGCTTTTGATTTTGCCATTTGATTAGGGGCTTTCCTTTTTGAATTTTCCTCGTAGTTCAGTATTTTTGTGATTTTGCTTTTTTCTTGTCCATTTTTTAATGTAATTTTGACGATCTGTAATTAAATTTTAAACTTATCAACAAGCACATAGGACACATTTCAACGAATTCGTGTATTCATAAACAAGTTTATTTAAATATTTCAACTAGATTTCAGTCCGTGCTCTTTTGTGAGTTTGCTAAAGATATCGAAAATCACAATGTATAAGGATATATTCAATTGAAGTGCCTAACATTTATAATTTTGAGGCATTGGGGTTTGTTCTTTTTTAAACAGCAACTTGCAAATTAAGATATGAATTATACCAAAAGATGATATAAATTAGCAACTGTGTTGTTACTTATGAAATCTATGCGACACATCCAATACATGAACCATATCCAGACTATTTCACTAGATAACATAAAAAAAGTCAAACCGGATGTTCTGTTATTTTTTTTTTTGAATTATGGTTCTTCGTTTTAGATACACTAATAATAACCTTAGTAAAAAGAAAACATAATTTTCCAAAATTCATAACCCTTTGGTTTTGGTGCAATTTTGACAACCCATATGCATTAAACTACCTTTTTTCAAATTATAAATGTGTGCATCAACTTCCCCGTGCCAATAAATCAGACATGTGTTTCATAACAGCTAATACAAGACTGCATAGGAAAATGCTATGGAAAACAAATAGATTATAAATATAGAATAATTAGATTAAATATACACATAAGAGTTCCAAACCATTTTTCAGAACAGTCAACAAAGGGTACAATTTATAAAATTGTTGAGGCCGTCATGAGACGCGATGAAGTCGACTGTATCACCTGTCTTTACTGTCTTTCAATAATATTTCAAAAATTGCAATTTTTTTTTCGTTTATTAAACAACAGGATGAGAATAGGAAGTAAAGAAAGTAATAAATACAACTATGTCTGTACGCATCGATAGTAAGGAAAAATTTGATTTGTATTGGGACGACTGAAAAGCTTTGTTAGTTTAAGTCTACACACAAATACCTCTAAGTGAAAAGAAATATTCAACAAAACCGACTTTCAAACTGTGACAATTACATGTTCTCCAATACAAATAATAGTTTCTTTTCCTTTTGTTAAATTATCTGATTTCATAGGTCGAACTATTGGTGCTTTAATTTGCAAAACATAAAACCATAACCTTTTTTTTTTTTGGTGCAGACGATCTTTGACTAAAAACACATGTGTTGCATTATTTACGGTTATAGAAACCCCATGTAATAACATTGTGTGTCTATTTTCAATAGGTCGGCATCTTTATTTCTGGAACGTGACCTCTGAATCCAATTGGCTGTTGGAAGTTAATATTTGGGCCAGAGCCTTCAACTGTTAACCCAGGAACTAGATCTGTTACTGCTCCAGGACCCAATGACATTCTGTGATTTTGAATTTGTGAGATAAAAGGGTTAACCAGTTGGTTCGTCCTGATGTTTGAAGTAATTCGATGTTCATGGTGTAAATTCATTGGCATGAAAGAGTTAGCCATGACATTTGTATCAACATGCATTATTTCTGGCCCATTAATTCTGTTGGAAACGTCATAGTTTTGGTCCCCATTTGTCATTATTTGTGGACGATCCATTCTGACATTTGTATCAACATTCATCATTGCTGGCATGTTCATTCTGCCAGAAGATTCTGACTGTCCGTTCCCATTTGTAATCATTTGTGGAAGAGCCATTCTGCTGTTTGTCCCATCTCTATTCATGTTTCGCATCATTGTCATCATTCTAGATCTCCCGTTCATGCTTCCTGTCATCCTCATGTTATTATAATTCAAGGTAACGGAATCCATACGAACACGCATGTCTCTGTCGTAGAATGGAAATGGATTGGTATTCTGTCCATTGTTCATCATTCCATTGTTCATAGCCATATCCATAGCCTCTTCCGGTTGTCCAGCATACTCCCTTGGATCTCGTCTTCTACTTACACATACCCTTTTTCTTCCATCACAATACAAATCTTGACTGCTTGCACATATGGGACATTGTGGATGAGGTTCATATTTCACCATGTCTGCTATTTTATTTGAATAACCATCATTGTTGTAATATCCTCTCAGGCCGACCGCTACTTCGGTTATAGCTTGAAAAGTTACGTTTGCTGGTTGTTCAAAAGTATCAGTAGCTGGATCGATACCACGAGTGAGTTGTTGTTTTCTAAACAATTCCCATATATAGTCGACAAAGGCATGATGACAGAAAAAGACTGGGTCATGGGGACTCGATTCCAAGTTATTCATAACACCATCAACCCAGTTATGTACTCCGTTATGTTGTCCCTCGACTGAAGCATTTTCATCTGCCATTGGTTCGGAAATTTGTTGTAGTCTCAATTTTGACAATAGCATGTTTATTCCGGGTCTGTTAAACAAAGAACCATCACTTCCAATGTTTCGAAAAAGTCTTCCAAGAGGTGTTTCGAAATTAGCAAATGGACCAGTCGTCACCATTCCATAACCATTCCCAAAATATCTTGAGGTCCATAGAATTGATTGCACAGGTATTTCCATTTCATAGTCAATGGCAGAATCCCAATAAGGAATTGGTGTGCCAAGTGCAGATTCCAATCTGAAATCGATAAAAAGACACATCATGGTTTTAAAATTTCAATATAATTTTGATTACAAATATAGTAGTTTAGCTCAAATTTTGGTTAGTTATTTAAAATATTAGCCGTTCATATCAAATCCAAATAAACAGATATAATCAACATGAAAATTATGACCAATACAAGAAAAAAAAACATCTTCAAAAGAAGTATATTTAAAAATAAGACGATGTTCTAAGATTGCTAATGAGACAATTCTCCATGAAAGACCAAATGACATAAAAGTTAACAATTATAGGTCATCGTATGTTCTTCAACAATGAGCAAACCCGACACCGCATAGAAAGCTACAAAAGGCCCCGAAATTACAACTGTAAAACAATTCAAACGAGAAAACTAACAGCCTGATTTATGTACAAAAAAAACCAAAAACATAATATGATATACAGCAACAAACGACAACCACTGAATAACAGGCTCCTGACTTGAGACAGGCACATACAAAATATGACTGAAACCATGAATTGAATTTTATAAAATTATTGCTCTGATAATTGTATTTATTCCAATTTTTGAGTTTCGGGTAGGGGTTTTTTTTTTGCGTATTTAACAGCTGGACTGATAATGTAAACAGCAAAAATGATTAGCAATGCAATATTTATATATGTAATTGTAACAATTAGTTAATTTATTATTAGAGTAGTTGTCCTTTTGTGGCGATTTTTTTTCCAATATAAGCGTTTTTTGTCCATTTTCTTAACCGTTATAACCTTATTCCAACCTTTATAAATACATTGAAATTAAAGCGGCAAAAATAGTAAACTTAATATACACAACTGTAACATTGCATAAACTGTAAATCGACTATCTATTTTTAGTTTTTTATCCATTAATTGCATTTCTTCACCTTTGAAACTTTTTCAATTTTGACAAAAGCCATGCTTAGAGTACCTAGATTTTATTTGGTGAATTATAATCCGGGAAACCAACCAATATAGCAGATATGGAAAAAACGTATGGGGAAAACATGCTTAGCAGGTCATGATTTACAGAAAAACATTATTAATCAACATTATCAGACGATGTCTATTAGGAGTAAAAGCCCTTTAAATGTTGATGCTTTCGAATTTTCTTGTGTTTTTCTGTATTTGATAATATTAATGGAAAGATAAACAGTAAACAGCAAAATGCAGAATTCAAAAATAGTAAATGGAGATATGCAAATTAGTTCGTTGTTTGTTAATATATGATGACAGCTAAGGTAGGGTTCATTTGAATTAGAAGAGGCCCCGAAAATTTTGTATTTTCTTTTATTCGGAATTTAACGTTAATTATAGATCTTGCACCGAACAGAGAAAATAATGTATTAGTCGTATTTCATTTAACGTTTTCCAAAAGCTTAATATTAATATGAATGGGTTCCTAAAACAAATCTGTGATCGTGAATCCCAAAGAAAATTTTGAACTTACAATTTTTGTTTCAAATTGTCTCTGTATTTTCTAATTGAAATGGATATGGAAAATATTTTTTTTAACTATATAATATACCAGCTTAGTTTTCAGTGAGTGGTCACATTAACGGTACCAGTTTTATTACAGAAGATGCGAATTCCGAAAATAAATGTCTCTTCAGTGATGCTTGAGGCCAAAATATTTTTGAAAGTCCAAATCATAATTCTTTGGTATTTCATGGGAAAATAGAGAGATGATTGCTGATGTGAAAACAGTCCAAGGAGCCAAAAACGTGTTTTGTTTTCAATATGTTCTATGCATATATATATTTAAAAGCCTGATTTTTTTATTTTATTTTTTTTTTTTACTGCTCTTTTTTCATTACACATGAATGTGTAAGCGATAGCTTAATCCTGATAAAATGTGTCTGAGTGGATGCCAATTGCTGCTATTATAAATCCATGGTTACATGTTATATTTAATTTTTTGAGTCCGATGTCAGTTTAAAAGTCCAGAGATTTTTTTTCCAGGTAAAAATGTCTATTACTTCAATTTTATTAAGAACATTCCTTGATATCTTACATCAAAATCTTGTCTAGATTGTTGTTATTGACAGACTTTTAATAATTTTGTGTTTTTCTTTGTTTAAAACGTTTGATACTTACAAAACAAGTGATGAAACATAAAATTCGGAATTGAAATGCAAATGCAATATTCATAGTGTTTTCCTATCAATCTAAGTGTTATATAGAAAATACGTCCTTTCATATATCTAAATATTTGCGAAAGCACAAATTATCATATTTACAGTACACAACTTTTATGTGTTACATAAAACGATTATTTAATATATTTATGATGAATTATGATGAAATGTCATAATGTGACCTCATTCACTTTGATGAAATGAATTATACTTGTCCTTTCTAAGTATTTGTTTCAAATTTGTAGATAGAGATTGATTATCCACTCAAAGATACATAGGGGGCGAGCATTTGGCTTTCAGGGGTTGAGTAGGATTTTCTGCATGCACAATATTGATTTCGATCTATGTGTAGGCCGGTTTACTTATTTTCGAGTTTGTACACCTTTAATTCCTGCATTTTTTTGGGCAGAATATTTATTTGTTTTCAGATATTTCCAGGCCAGTATATTCATTTCAAAATCCTTCAGCCTCGTGATACATACGGACTGCTACGTTAATTAAATACCATTTTTGTATAACGTGTCTATTAAATTTCACTGATCTTTCAGCATAGAAGGATATATTGTTCGTGTACTTTTTTATATACATAATATGTGGGTTAAAAGTAATTGTAATTTTAAAAACTATTGGACATAAAAACCACAAACAATCAGTCTTTAAGAAATAACACACACACAACAAAGAATAAAAATTATCAATTTTGGTACACAAGATGGGAAAGATAAATGTAGTCCTACCAAACTCAAACTGCTTCTTAATGACGCTAGTAGGACAATCATAAAAGATGTGAATATAACATGACTTATGCTGTTTAATTGTTGATAAAATTTCTAACTTATCATATAATTTCCAACATTAACAGAGACAATTTATTCGAAGTTAGTAGAAAAATTGACGGCAACCCTGATTTTTCGTAGCAACCAGGTAATCGTTACTGGAACAGGCAACTTCATAGCATAGTGTATGTGTACATTATTGGCAATTTATATCTATGATTGATTGATTGATTTATTGATTTAATGTTCGTTAAACAGGACGATAACCAATTAAAAATAAATTATTTGGTTGACCAGGATGAAGGATGGTGAATTTTGACTGCAAATGGAAAAGAAGCTGACCTAAATTCGGGCAGAAGTTTGGTTTGCGACAGGCTACGTACGGACTCTCAATAAAAGGTTTCAAAGCATCATAAACGTACATATAGATTGAAACTCTCCCTACCAGAAGCATCGGATTTAATAACATTTCATTCCGACCAGATGTGATTGCGTATACCATATGTGGGTATGCACTTGTCAACCTTTGAGATCACGGCAATAGATAGATTAGCTTATTTACAGGTTTGATGATTGTCTAGTGGTACAAGATAATTTGGAACGCAAAAAGAAAATGTAAATGTGGGACAATAAAAACAATGACTGATTAAAATAGTTAAACCGCCCAAATACATATTTCCCTCAGACAACTTAACTTATTTTAATTTTTTTAATAATTAATTTGATTATTACACACAAAATATGATGACATATTTATATATGGCTTATGATTATTTAAATGTAAAAAACATTTATCATTTCATAGATCAATCATATTTAGAAACATTCTTCTTTCACAAATTAGCCAAGATGCGTTTACATATGGACTTCGTTAACAAGGTTTGCTTCTTACATAAAAACTGTTCCAGCAGAGATCTGAGGAAGACCACTGAAATCGCCCCTACATAAGTTTAACAGTCAACATCACAAATTGGTTGACCGTGACGAAGTGTCGTTCAGTCAACTCACTAGCGACATGTTTTTGACGTGTTAGATTTTTTAGATACATGTAGAGTCGTCCGATCTGTAATTTTACCGATGTGTCCCATTACCTATCGAGACATCTTGACTGAGTGTGGATTTGCATGGCGGGTGATGAATGCATAGCAGCATAAGTCTACGCTGTCAACGCACCTCTTGGTGCGGTTCCTTCGGTTTTTGTTTGTTCCCTTTGTTTGTCTCTTCTTAATCGATTTGCGAGATTTGTATACTGGTAGAATACTGTCGCCTTTATTTATATGATAGCAATTACATTTACAGTAGAATGTGTCTGCATCAGACGAGCTATTGGCACTTATTGAATGTTCAGTAATGATATAGGCCATACAATTTGAAAATACACAACGTTATATAAAGAGTTGATAAGACCTTAAAGGACCAAATGTATAGCTACCCAAAAAAGAATTCGCTCTGCGCATGTGGGAAATACAATACATACACCTGGGAAAAGTTGATATTTATTTTATTTTCTCAGATATACCATATTTTTATAAGTGTATACGGGTATATGCAGACTCACATCTATCTTTTATAACTACAAATTCGAACTTACAATATCAAGTATAATCGGTGCCATGGTAGAAAGTTTGGTCCGAAATGAGCGCTGTTTATTGCAATGGCATGAATGTCTGCAAGGACATCATATTTACTTCTTCCATTATGGGTTATCTACAATATAAGAACAAAGAATTTTTTAACAGTCTTGATTCAAGATTCGTTTTTATAAAGAAAACCAAGATTAATTTTCATAAAGAAAAAGACCAAGAATCATTTCATAAAGAAAAAGTCCAAGATTCATTTTCAGAAGTAAAAAGACTGTAAGGGCTATTTATATCAGAATAAGGAATATATCATTTTGACACATTATCACATACTCTTTCATTCATATAAACAATAAAGTTTTAAAATTTATACATACATGTATAAATAAAAGGAGATATTTGAAATACATTCAAGACACATCAATCCAACGAAAAAATTAACAAAACCACATCTAAATGGTAAATTGCAATTTGTCAAGCAGTAAGTTGTCCCGAATATATAAAATTTGATAATAGTAGTTTACAGGAACAATCATAAATCTACCATCAAAACTGAATTCTCCAAATAACGCACATTAATATGACATGCGACAACTTCTGAAAGTGTGCCTGATTTGGGATAGGCACGTGTTGGATATAGCTAGAACTTATGACATGCATCAGGCTACCTACAGACTCTCAAAGAGTTGTTTCAAAGCCTCTTAGACGTACAGTAATTTTTTATCTCACTCCTTTTTTATATGCAATATTATGAATTCCAACATAAGGAAGGTTTATTACACATCCCGCCATTATGTTATTGTGCTATCTTCATTTTTTGTATTCTTGTCTTTCATTTTTGCTTATGTGCTTTGTCTATATGCCATTTTGTTTTTTTTTTTTTTGTTGACATATTTGTTTGTTTTTACAGTGATTAAGATTATAACACAATGTTGACTGCTGTACCCCTATTTTTGACATTTTTACCTATTATGTCTGTTTGTTCTGTTCACACATTGTTGTCAATATAATGGAATTTTATGCGACTGTAATACAAGTGAGAGGTTTAGCTAGCTATAAAACCAGGTTTAATCCACCATTTTCTACATAAGGAAATGCCTGTACCAAGTCAGGAATATGCCAGTTGTTTTCCATTCGTTTGATGTGTTTGAGCTTTTGATTTTGCCATTTGATAAGGGATTTGGTGTAGGTGCCAGATACTTGATTTGGTATTAAATGTATTAAGTCATCTTTTATAGATTCGGGACAATTTAGAGTTTGGCATATTGTATGGACAACTATAATTGACGACTATTTGTTGATCTCTAGTTGTGGTTTGGATGATTTATCATTGAGTTGCTGTCTCTTTGACGTAAACTCCACATCTCATTTTATTCATTTTGGTATTTTTATACCAGCAGTTAATTATGAAATGGAAATAAAACTTTATAAATTTCGTGCGTCCGAAGTACTTTTCTGGATTCACTTTTATCAGGAACGCCCAAAATAAACTTTGAGTATTTTAAAAGGTTTTATTAACGTCTAATTTAAAAAAAAAATCATTGGCAGAAAAGAATTCAACATCATGAGAACAAGTACATAGAGATGATCACATCGTACAAAAAACTGTAAATCGCCAATAATAACAGCGAAATGTATAGTTGAACAGTGAAATGTACACTTGAACAGTGAAATGTACACTTGAACAGTTAAATAAAGTACTTAAAATCTATATGGAGGATACTCATATAAAAATAAGAAGATTTGACATGATTGGCAATAAGACAGCTCTCTGCCAAAGACCAAATGACAAAAAAGTTTAACAACTGTAGGTCAACAACCGCATAGTAAGCTATTAAAGGCTCCGAAATGACAAATTTGAAACACTTCAAACTAGAAAACTAACGGCCTGATTGCAATACATTAATAAGACTTATCCGGTGATCAGGTGCCATATATGGTAATTAATTCTAAATTTAGTTTTAGTAGTTTTTGTTTTCATTAACTTACCGTCTCATACTTAAGCCGTCTAACGTTTCTTGCATAATTTTGCCAGTGCTGGTATGGTGCAGCTCTTACTTCACGTCTCAATCTCCTTGGGAATATTCCAACGTCCCTCTTGTGTCTGAGCTTATTTAACTGAGCAGCATCGTTTATGACTTTCCTGAACACAGATTTGATATAGCTCTGTTCGTCGCTTGTCAAATTTTTTGCCCAACTGTGCGTATGGTCAATTGAAATGAATCTATCCAAGCAACGGTTTTGTACGGCTTGTACTACATACTTAGGAGTGTTTTCGTTGATTATAATATCAGTACATTCTGCAAAGGTCTCAGGGAAGGTGAACTTTGATCCTTGTTCATACAAGCTACTGGTTGTACTGCAGCTAACATAAGTTAGACACAAAGTCACCACATAGACGTAGAATGTGCACATCTGTAAAATAAATCAAACAGGTACATTGATATTTTACTTGCGCTTACTCATTACCCGACTTTATTGTTATGCATAACTATGTTGTAATAATACAACTGTTATATTGCTAAATCCTAAATGGTTGAATATTCGACTATTATCCTTTGTTAGTCAGTGCTTCATTGCATTGAGTCCATTTTAAAGTAAGATAGAAGTAAATAAAAATTCAAATTTGTATTTTCCCTTAATCAAGAGTTCCCTATTTTAGCATTGTGTCATTTAAATGTTTGCTTAAGTTTTAAGTGTTGTTTTTAGTGCTTTTTATTTTATTAATGTCTAAAATGTTATACGGGCAACAGTCTTGTCAATACTTTGTCATGAAAAACTTGTGTCAATTTTCACATTCGGTCACGTTTCAGGGTTAGAAAATTTACATGACCGATGGTTTATGAATTAGATGATGTATTAGGGTTAGATAGTCAACTACCAATATGCCATTGCATGATGCTTTATCACTTGATATAACCTATCCTATCAATATATTTTATAGGAGTAACACGACAGATGTCACAAGTGGAGCATGATCTGCTCACCCTTCCGGAGCACCTGATATCACCACCGGTTTTTGGTAGGGTTCTCGTTGCTCAGTCTTTTCTTTTCCTTGTTGTGCCTTTTGTGTGTTACAGAACGACATCAATTCAATCATCTATGTTTGCATTCATATTTGCTTAAGGTGGTACCTAACACTACAGGGAGATAACTCTGTAAAAATCAGCTAAATGTTTTAATTACGTTGTATTGTTAAGGAAATATTAAGCTTCTCAATGATCAAAATTAGTGTTTGTCAAACTGCTATATAACCAAAGAAATTTTTCTGATAAAGTGGTTGGTTCAAATTTTTTGAAATTTTTATATTTTTGTCAAAGGGTCAAAGTAAACATTTTGTCAAAATTTTATGAAAATTAAACGAGCCAAATTAATGTTAGTCAAGGTGTTGGGTACCACCTTAAATGCTCGTATCTGGCATAAACTGTCATGATTTTATGCATAACAATAACACGATACATTGTAAACTAAAAAGCAATTAAATGTTACTATCCTTATCAACCAAGTGTTCTATCAATTTGCTTCAATTCAATTTCAATTCCACATCAGTATTTCTAAAACCAATCCTGTTTAAAATTTACAGTTATCTCGTTGCTTTTGACTGTTCCTCTGCATTTCTTTTGTAATTATTATTTCCCCTTTTTCGTTTGGTCTTTTTCGGTTTTTGCCATGACTTTGTCAGTTTATTTTCGACTAATGAGTGTGAATGTCCTTTTGCAATCTTTCTCGCCTCTTTTTTTTCAACATATTTGCTATGGTATCATGAACCTGTTATTTACAAAATCAGTTCTCTCCTTTCATAAAGTTTTGATCTCAATCAAAACTAGAAAATTGATTTTATTCTTTTTGCTTTTATGCTGTATCAACAATTCTATTCTTAAAGAAAGAGGCGGAAGATTCCAAGGGGACCTTTAAAACTCACATGTCGAGGAAAACTGACAATGCTATGGCAAAAAAACGAAAAACGATGAAAAGACAACACATCCACAAAACAGTAGAAAAAAAACTAAGCAACACAAACCCCACCAAGAACCAGTAGTGAAATCATGTGCTCCGGAAGAGTAAGCAGTTCCTGCTCCACATATGGCAACCTTCTTGTTGTTTATGCAAGTACAAATCATGGTTACAAGTCTCATTCAATGATGTTACAATCGAGTAAAAAAGAGAACCGAATTATTGTTACGACAATTGGACGTATCTGGAGTCATCTGGGACACATATACTCCATAAAAGTCAACCAAGTTGTGATTGCGTCCGTCTTACGAAGGAACGACTTCAACTCTACAACTTAGGATCCTTTGAAGTGAATAAAATATCTACTTTTTATCGTATGGTCTCCAACAATGAACAACTACATGTTCCGAAAAAAAATAAGTTATGAATGGAAAAAAAGCCGGATTATTATAAAGATATAGCTAATGGTCTAATTAGAGTTTTCTGTGACACAAAACAAAGTTCACGGTAATGCAACGAAAACCGTTGAGTTTGTTTATATGTTTTAATTGAGACCCGAGTTCATTGGTTGATTTAGTGAGTGTATGATAGCTCAGATTTGATTGATTCAGAATAGTTTCTTCCCTGAAACTATGTTACATGACAAAATTTAAAGAAATCAAAGTTTTATAAAGGACACTATGTCTTTGTCAAAATCATTGTAAACCAATTCCTGTAAAACTTGACATATTTGTAAGGTACATGGCTATTGGTGAAGAACAAAAGTTGATTTCAGAAGTCTTTTGATTATCTATATCGTTAAGTTGCTGTCTCTACGGTTCATATCCAAGATCAACTTTTATATAGATTTGAAATATTACAAAAAGTTAGATAGACAAGATTCAAAATCCAAAGAGTATGTTATGGAAAAAAGAAAGGTTACCGCTGTCATTATCACTTTTGCGAAAATAAGATAGATTGGGTCGAAACTTTATTGCAAAAAAAATTTAACAGTTATTTTTTTTCTGGCTTTTCTGAATTGTTCGTTATATCAGTCAACACTCGGCTTTTCAACCTTGAAATCATCAATAATCTGGTGATTGTTAAACGGTACAAGCATTTGATAGCTATCGGCAATAAACAAATTAATAACGGGTGTGAACTTCATAGTTTGAATAATGGCTTCACATGTAACTTAAATCAGTTGTTTTACAATTTTAACAAAAATAATTGTTTTGAAGTGGGTTCTTTATTGATGTGCAATCGTTTAACCACTCCTGTCTCTAACTGGTTTTCGTTTTAACCTTAAATGACATTATCAAGATGCTTGATTTCTTGATTGACAACATATTTGTTACGTTTGGAGGACGTGTTTTTCAACAAACAATCGGCATTCCCATGGGAACCAACTGTGCCTTCTTCTTGCTGACTTGTTCCTTTATTCATATAAAGCTGACTTCATACAGGAACTTCTTAGGAAGAAAGAAAAGAAGTGAGCAGTATCCTTTAACTTCACTTGCTATATAGATGATGTTCTCACACTAAATAATTCAAAATTTGGTGACTATTTGGACGCATATATCCAATCAAACTTGAGATAAAGGATACAACAGCTACAGTTAAGTCTGCCTCATATCTTGACTTATATCTAGAAATTGACAATGAGTGTCGGTTGAAAACAAAACTTTGTGACAAAAGAGATGATTTCAGCTTCCCAATTGTGAACTTTCCATTCCTATGTAACAACATTCCAGCAGCGCCTGCATACGGAGTATATATCTCCCAGTTGATACGATACTCCAGGGCTTGTATTTCCTATCATGATTTCCTTAGTAGAGGGTTGCTGCTCACAAGGAAGCTATTAAACCAAGAGTTCCAAGTGGTGAAGTTGAAATCATCCCTTCGTAATTTTACGGACGCCATAACGAGTTGCTTGACCGTTACGGAATATCCGTTTCACAGATGATAGCGAATATGTTCCTAATGTCGTAACTACAATCCAGTCCCCTTTTCCCGAATGTGATCTACCGAATTAGACTTATTACCGGGTTTGTACTAACATGAGCAACACGACGGGTGCCACATATGGAGCAGGATCTACTTGCCCTTCCGGAGCACCTGAGATCACCCCCAGTTTTTGGTGGGGTTCGTGTTGCTCAGTCTTTAGTTTACTATGTTGTGTTTTGTGTACTATTGTTTGTCTGTTGGTCTTTTTCTTTTATTGCCATGGCATTGTCAGTTTATTTTCGACTTATGAGTTTGGACGTCCCTTTGGTATCTTTCGCCTCTCTTTTAACGATAAAAGGCAAAGGACACTGCTTTTTTTTTAAATTAAAACTAAACAAATTAAAAAAAGTCCTCGATTTCATTCAATAGTATCCGATAAACTGATTGAAGACAAAATTAATCCTAACCTACTGATGTTTTGGATACAAATATAATTGGGCAGTAAATAAATATTAGCCTTCTAATTTAGTGTTCCTTTATTAAAGTGTTGATAGTGAAATAGAGATGTGGGATTAATGTACACTTGGACTTTATATTACAGTTGATATGATTACCCCCTGAAGCACCTTTTTTTTTAACAGCTTCATGATTACTTTCGAGTTATTTATTCCTTATACTGAACTATGGTGACTTTTTTAAAATTCTTTATTTTGTTACATGAATATTAATTATATGGTCATTTTCATAAATTTCCTGTTGAGAAAACTTTTAATTTTTCGAAAAAATAAGGATTTTCTTATCCCAGGAATAGATTACCTTAGCCGTATTTGCCACAACTTTTTGGAATTTTGGGTCCTCAATGCTCTACAACTTTGTACTTGTTTGACTTCATACCTATTTTGATCTGAGCGTCACTGATGAGTCTTATGTAGACGAAACGCGCGTCTGGCGTATTAAATTATAATCTTGGTACCTTTTATAACTATTTACACCACTGGGTCGATGCCATTACTGGTGGACGTTTCGTCCCCGATGGTATCACCAGCCCAGTAGTCAGCACTTCGGTGTTGAAATAAATATCAATTATATGGTCATTTTCATAAATTTCCTGTTGAGAAAACTTTGAATTTTTCGAAAAAAATAAGGATTTTCTTATCCCAGGAATAGATTACCTTAGCCGTATTTGGCACAACTTTTTTGGAATCTTGGGTCCTCAATGCTCTACAACTTTGTACTTGGTTGGCTTCATACCTATTTTGATCTGAGCGTCACTGATGAGTCTTATGTAGACGAAACGCACGTCTGGCGTATTAAATTATAATCCTGGTACCTTTGATAACTATTGGACTGAAGTTAACAGACTAAAGTATTATACCATTCTTTCCTATCATTCATATTCATATATATTTCATTTATTATTGGTTGTTACCAATTAAAAAGTTCTAAATTCCCATTTATATACTTTGATTTGAAATCACCATTGTCAAATTAAGGTGACAGTAGTTTACCGATGTTCAAATATCGCAAATCGATTAAAATTAGACAAATCAAGGTAACAAGTACAAACTGAGGAAAACGCATGACCTCCAAAATAAATCTTGGAACTTAATGTCGGTCTAAAAAATTATGAACAACTGATATAAGCTATATTGTAGGTCTTAACTCTGCATCATAGTAATGCATATGCCGGAATTATGGTTGAAAAAATATAAGATAAGACCATGTGGTATGAATGAGTTAACTATCCATCAGAGACAAAAAGACGAGAATATTAATAAATATAGGTAAAAAGTAAAATAACAAAATACCGAACTCCAAGGATTCAAAAAGGAAAGTCCCTTTTCAAATGGAAAAATCAAAAGCTCAAACACATCAAAAGAATGGAAAACAACTGTCATATTCCTGACTTGGTACATGCATTTTCTTATGTAGAAAATGGTGGATTACACCTGGTTTTATCGCTAGCCAAACCTCACTTGTATGACAGTCGCATAAAATTCCATTATTTTGACAACAATGTGTGAACAAAACAGACAGACATAATAGGTAAAAATGTCAAAAATAAGGGTTCAGCAGTCAACATTGTGTTATAATCTTAATCACTATAAAAACAAACAAATATGTCAACAAAGAAAAACAAAATGCCATACAGACAAATCACATACGCGAAAATGAAAGACAAAATTACAAAAAATAACCATAGCACAATAACACAATGGCGGGATGTATAAGTACCGAGCCACGCCAACAGGATATTATCAAAAATGGACTAAACAGTTAAGGTTAATAATTTACAAAGACAAATAAAAGAACACTATAACACGTAATTACGATGATAAACAACGTCAGTACCTAGAATCTATAATTCAAGACCATTATTATTTGTGAAGTTGATACGGAATATTTATCAACAAAGTCTGTATCTTCCGATGAACTTTTCTAGAATAAGGACAAGGCGTTCTTTGACATAACCCTGTAATTGTTCGGCCTTTAAATATGAGCAAAACCTATATCTTACAGTACTTTAAAAAAAAAACGGCATAACAGAATGTGAGTTAAAGCAAAAGAAAAAACTAGCAGCCGGATTTATGCTGAATACGATAAACAAAATTCAAATATGACAGAGAGCAAACGACAACCACTGCATTACCGGCTCCTTGCGTTGGAGTTTGTACTAAAATCTTCGATTATCACAAGTTCTTAAATATTTTCACCAGATTTTAAGTGAAAAATATCGTATTAAAGATATGATAAAATAGATTATTGTTGTGGTCACAATGATTTTGTTCTGTTCAATTAAAGAAATTTTAAAAATGTGCAAAATTTAAATAGGATTATGTAATTCCATTAAAATATCAGTAATTATTTGTATTTCACAATGATTTAAAGGTGAAAATTACATATTTATATGAAATATATATGATCTTACTTTTTTATGTGTCACTCCAGTTAAATGCTCGTACTTTCCTTATGTGAATGACAGTTAGACACGTTCCCATATAAAAAAGTTAAATTGTATTATATAGTATGATACATCTTCATAAATATTACAAGCTTTTCAAAGGAAATAAAATCCATGATCCAGTTAGTATTTATGATTACTAAAGGGATAGGTGAATAAGAATGAAACCTCTTCTTTTTAAAAGTATTATAAATTGGAATATGAATCTTAATCTGTTATTCCCAGATTCATTCTTAAATATTAATATTATTTAGATATCAAATAGTATTGTGTGATCACCACCCAAAGATCTGTTTCGACTACTTGCTATATTTCAGTCATATAAGGATATGAAAAAATAATCCTTTCTTTAAATTTCTTGTTGACATATTTGCGCTAGGCAAACAGCAAACAATGAGAGTATCTAATAATCAAATGAACTACTTGACAGTTACATGTAAAAGTGCTTTTCTGTTTGCATTCATTCTTTCCTCTTCTACAAAATACAATTTAAATTATCTTATCCTTGTCGGGTTATCAATGTCTGAAGAACGATACGTTTTCCCATTTTGTCAATCAATACTGTTTAAATACTACTGCTTTCATATCTCTGAGTCAGGAAAGAAAATTACCGGTATCTACAACCTTTTCTGTCTATTGTTTTGTGTTTTGTGATTTAACTGTTTGTTCTTGATCTGGTGTTTGCTTTTGTTTGGATTTTGTTTTTGATGTTTTGTGCTTTTTTTTGGTATGGTTTAAATCAATTAAGCTTCTAACTATTACAGACAAAAGATGACAATTTAACTACAAAATCAGTGAAATGGTAGATTTTAAACCTCCAGCGGCAAATAACAACAATGCATCAACATTTATAATTAGACTGATATGGCATCTTGTTCCTAGCATCGGTTATAGAATACTTGACCTTGCCATAGGTTTCTGAAATATCAGAAATAGTGTCTTTACATAAACAAAATACAAAATAAGTTGTAAGAAACGATTTGTGACGGTCAACGTAATTCTTGTTTATTGCTTTTTACCTTTTGAGCTTTCTACTGACATCCTTATATGGTGACTGTGGGTACAGCTTTAATGGTATTGATTATAGCTAAGAATTTATATGCATTCACAAATCGCATCTTCTTACAGTCGGTAATAACAGTGATTTCACGGTACTGAAACAATCTGTACCAACTGCATAAAAGCATCTTGCTACACATTTTCTTTTTAATCGTATATTCATCTAGCTTTTCGCTAGGTGTTTTTATCTAACGGGAAATAAATTTATGTAAAGGGGTGAATCTTTAGTTCTCTTAATTTGAATAAATGTAAATTATGAATCAACGTTATATGACATCTTTTTAACAAATTGTAATAAAACATTGCGTTATTATCAAACCATATATCATGCATCTAACAAGATTCCTTAAGTAAAAGGCTATATGATTTTATTTGAACAAGTGATGTGTACACCATTTAAAAAAAATAACACTTAAAATCACAGAAGAGCGCCAGCTTCCAATTTACGATTGTGCAAGTATGAGCAAGAACACGAAAGATAAAGACATTTTATAGAAAATATCTGACGCAGAAAAATAATGAAAAAAGATGTCCAAACCGACAGTTTCTGTTCATGTTACATTTATGATGTCAGTCAATAGCTTAGTTCTATTTTGAATTTTTCCAATGAAAAGGTTTCACAAGGTTGTAAAAGAAAAGGGATCGAGATTTACAGGGCGGAGTAGTCCATGACCCTTAAAACTGTGCTGGCTCCGACTTTTTACCAATTTTTGCTTCATCATGCAACACTGGGACACCAGAAATGATGGCACAGCTACTTCTTAATTTTTTTATTTCTGTCCCTGAAGAGTAATAAATAAAGAAAGTAAGCACAATACGGTCTCAACTAATCGTTAGAGTCCAAAAATGCATCTTTGGGGGTTTGCTAAATACACAGCAGGTCTAAAAACATACACTTTTTTAATTTACATTTTGTTATTACAACGATTGTTCTTTGTTTCCAAGAAACGTTCTTTTGATGAATCGTTCCGTTTTCTTTGATGCTAAGAAAAGACAAAAAATTTACCACGTAATCAGAATGTGCGGTAGTGCAATAGAAAAAAAAACAAAAACTTGTAAGACGAGCAATCAATCAGGAAGATGCATTCTTCAACTTCGTACTTTATTTTACCTGTTTAACATTTGTGATTCGAGCGTCACTGATGAGTCTTTCGTAGACGAAACTATCGTTTGGCGTAGGAAATCTAAATCCTGGTATCTATGATGAGTGTATTCACGAAGATTCATGAAACTAGCGAACAGCTACTAATATATCATCGAAATGACTTGATATTTCTCGGGTAGAATAATCAGGTTTTGTGATAACAATCTTGTACGTAAAATATCATTGCGACCTAATAATTGACATCTTTAATTGTGTGTAGCAAAAGTACGCCACGGTTTAGAAAAAGAAGAAAAGTTAGCATTTTCAGTTTTAAATGTATCTTATGCACTTTCTGTAAAACAAATACATCTTATAAAATTGAGAATGGAAATGGGGAATGTGTCAAAGAGACAACAACCCGACCATAGAACAGACAACAGCAGAAGGTCACCAACAGGTCTTCAATGCAGCGAGAAATTCCCGCACCCGGAGGCGTCCTTCAGCTGGCCCCTAAACAAATATATATACTAGTTCAGTGATAATGAACGCCATACTAAACTCCAAATTGTACACAAGAAACTAAAATTAAAAATAATACAAGACTAACAAAGGCTAGAGGCTCCTGACTTGGGACAGGCGCAAAAATGCGGCGGGGTTAAACATGTTTATGAGATCTCAACCCTCCCCCTATACCTCTAGCCAATGTAGAAAAGTAAACGCATAACAATACGCACATTAAAATTCAGTTCAAGAGAAGTCCGAGTCTGATGTCAGAAGATGTAACCAAAGAAAATAAACAAAATGACAATAATACATAAATAACAACAGACTACTAGCAGTTAACTGACATGCCAGCTCCAGACTTCAATTAAACTGATTGAAAGATTATGTCTTCATCATATGAATATCAGGCACAATCCTTCCCGTTAGGGGTTTAGTATCATACCATCATGACTACCTACTTCTCATTCAAGTCAATGAAACACTACAAAACAAGATCCGATTGTAAATATAGACTTTCGCCAAGTCATCGACTAAAAGTACAATAGAAGTAATAAATGTATGAAACACTAAATTATTTCAGTCATAAAAAAGCTATATGTCACTCTGTATCATATTTGTGAAAAGACAGTTGAGTTGCTTTTTTGATATAAAAAGTAAAATCACAAAAATACTGAACTCCGAGGAAAATTCAAAAAGGAAAGTCCCTAATCAAATGGCAAAATCAAAAGCTCAAACACATCAAACGAATTAATAACAACTGTCATATTCACGACTTAGTACACATACATTTTTCAGGCTTGATTATTTACATTCTTAGGTAATAAACTTACACCTCATTAACATTTACTAGCACAAAATAGTATATCATTATCAAATAATTGTTTCGTAAACGTCTATTTACCACAATTCATGATTTCTGAGGTTAACCCGTTATCATATTTGACCTCGTGTCAATGCGACGGGTGTCATATGAGAAGAAAGGTCTGCTATTCATATTTTCGCAATCTTAGATCTGAAGATAACAAAAGGTCGTTTTATCTGTAAATTTACCAATTGTGACGTTTTGACTATATGCGGATTTGCATGGCTTTTCATGCATGAAAAGTAGGAGACGCTTATCGTTTCGATGGACTCGGTTTCGCTCCTTTTAGAGTTCTTGCGATTTCCTCTTTTTTTACCTTGATTGTGATCTTCTTAATAGGTTTAAGAGATTTAAAGTACTTAATAATATTTAATGTTTTAATTTTGATCAACTTGGTTTTACTTAAAATATGATGAATGTTATTATGTTATTGTTTGTCTCAATTTATTCGTATCATCTTATCACGTTACTTATGATTTGCCTTCATTGTGTTTTCTCCTTTGAATTTCGATTCCTGTTTGATATTAAAAAGAATTGAAAAGCCACTTTATGAAACCCCTCAATAATGCATTATTATATATCTTTTAACGTCCAGTGAATTCAACAAAACAGTTGGCAGTCAAATTCAATCAAGAAGTTAAAGAACATGGAAACTTTAAATTCCAAACATTTGGGGTGTTTCGAAAGATTCTAACGTTTTTGAAAGTAACATTACAGTAAATTACAGTATCAATAAAATTTCATGTAAGCACAGAAGTTATCAATTAGAAGTAAATTATCAAGCTCGACTATAGATAGTTGGTCAAGGATAAAATACGGTTCATTTCTATAACATTTTAACACACGAAGATGTGGTATAATTGCCAAAGAGACAACTCTTAGTCAATGACCAAATGACGTAGAAGTTAATCGTATCTTGAATGTGCCGTTAATGATAACCACTGAACAGTCATTCATCCATTCATCCTTATACAGTGACTCTGCTTAACGCGTTAACTTGTTTTGAATAATATTTATAAATAAATGGCATAAATATGTAATAACTATTTAACGATTTTAATGATTCATGTTTTATTTCTTGAATAAAATACTATTAGTAACTAAATGCTCCTAGTTTCCCATAATTGTCAACTTTTCTCATGTTTTTAAATTCGCCCGATAAAAAAGTAAGTAAAGTGATGAATGTTTGGGTTTTTTTAATGTGAATAAAAGTAAATTATGGATCCGTGTAGTTTCACATCTTTCAAACATGGTGTTATTAAAAGTATCATCAATCTATAATGGTATGTGCATATCACATCACCTGCAAGTATTCATACAAGTAAGCTACATGAAAAAGGAGTGGGGGGATTGGCTGCACACATAACTGCTCGCAATATAAAAAAGGAAGAATGGGCAAGAATTCGTTAAAATAGAAAAGAAGCTTAAATAAATGACGAAATTTTACAGAAAAACATGTGTATCTTAGAACTAATAAAATAAACTCCTGTGTACTGTGCTGAATTAATGT